GCCCCACCGGCTCCGGTCCCGCCGCTGGCATCCCGCCCACACCCCACACCCCACACCCCCACACCCCGTCCCGGTACCCGGGGCTGGCCGCCCCCGGGGCGGAGGGCCGGGAGGTCCCGGGGGAGCTGCAAGGCGCTGGGTGCCGCGGCACAGCTGGCGAGAGCCCCCGGGCAGGGGGCTTCGGGCAGCGTCCCTGCCTCCGGACTGCCTCCTCCGGCTGCTTCCTCCGTGGGTCTTGCGAGGGATGCTCGGAGCGGCGGGGCTCCCCAGGGTTTCCCCGGGGAGCAGTCAGCAGCCGGCTCTGTCTTGGCTCTGCCTGGGGTCGGGCAGATCCTGGGAAAGGATTCCCTCCCTCGGAGGCCGGTGGCGTGGACAGCTAAAAATCCCACGCCCAGGTTCATGTCTGGCTTCCAGTGGGCTCTGCGGTCCGGGCCGCAGCAGTCGCGGAGCCTTCAGCTCTCCAGTCTGTCCCTTTGCGGGGACAAGCCAGCCCTTCGCGCTGCCACAGGCCAGAATTTCCACTCTGGCAGTGGGATGGCATTTCCAAGCTGCAGCTTGTTCCTGGTCTAGCTTTTTTATTGTTGTTGGGGCTGGAGGGTTTTTTCTTTCTTTTTCCTATGCCCACTCCTTTAACATCCTCACCATATCAGGAGCGGCAGAGCTGGGCGCGGTACCCGGGCTGTTGTCACTCGGGCTGTGTGCGGAGGAAATGGCCCCTTCCTGCAGCCGCAGATCGGGTTCCCCGGTCACTGGGAGCTGCCAGAGAGCTCGTGTTCCCAAGTGTCCATCCGTGCAGTTCTGACCCACTTTGGGGGTGATTCCCTGGGAAAAAAGGCTCCTGACGATGTGGGGCAGATGCTGCAGGCAGAGCATCTCACCGTGGGGGCCAGCCCCAGCTCCCCGTTGGGCAGTCTGGCAAGGGACGAGCTCTCGGTGAGCCTGGAAAAAAAGGGTGTTCATGGGGTGGAGGTGACTGTTGTGTTAGCTGTGGGGCCGGCCACTCTCCCGGCGTGCTGCTGAGCTGCTCTGCTCAGAGAGGTGCTGGCTGCGCCGGTCCCCACCCTGCCGGCTCACCACGGGGGACCGCGGGTGCTCAGTGGGGCCACGCAGGGTGACAGCCCCTCGCGGCTCCCACAGTCCCCCTGCTTGGCCGATGTCCCCCAGGCCATTCATTCCCGGCGCTGGAGCACCAGGCCAGACGGGACCTGGCACTGCAGCCAGCCGGGCCTGCTCCAGCCTGTGAATAAGCAGGAGACATTATCCCCTGGGTTGGTGCATGCCTCCCTGCGTCTTGGTGCACGGGGCTGCTCCCCACGGAGAGGTCTCATCGCCCCCCGTCCCTTTGCACCCCGGGGTTTGTCTTTCCTGCAGCACCCCCCCCGCCGTGGGGAGCGGGGCCGGGTGCTGCTGAGGCAGCGTTTCCCCGTGGTGGCGATGGAGCAGGAGGCCTTTACCAAATGGAAAGAGCACGAGGCCAGGCATCGAGGGGCTGGCGGGCGGCCAGGGCCACCGCTCCCGGCCAGCCCCAGCTCCCAGCCCTGCGCACGGGGAGCCTGGGAAAGTGGGGGGCCCCAGTCCGCTGGGCCCCAGCAGCCACAGCTTTGGCCGGGTCCCAGCCCGACGGGGGCGACTCGCTCCATTGCCCCTGGCACTGCGCTGTGTGCATCAGCTGGGGGCCGGGGGGGGGGGGGGGCGGTTCGTGGCTTCGGGCTGCCGTGTTGCACAGGCCTGTGGGGGGGGTCCCACAGGAGAGGCTCCCGGCTCACTCCACCGCCTCCGTAAACAGGAAATCCACAAGCAGCTCCGATCTCCTTTTTGGGAGCAAAGCCGCACAGGGCATTCCTCCCCCTTTACTCACTGCTCTGCAAACCCCAAATACCATCCCCATGACGGCACGGCTGCTATGGCCACCCTACCCTGGGGAACGCACCTCGTTCCTCTACGGGACAGGAGCTGGAGGTGTGAGGATGTGGTGGAGGGGCTGCACAGGCTGGGCTGGGGTTGTGTGTCTGGGAGGAGCCAGCGTCAAACAGGGCACTAGGGATGGAGAAAACCCTGTTGTCCCTATAGGAAGGCGAGGGGATGCATGGTCAGGCATCCCATTCCAGTAAGCACTGGCTTGTTGCACAGTGCCAAAGGGTGTTCTGGATAGCAAATGCAGAAGTAACCACCAAAAATGCTTTTTAAAAAATATATATGCATGTGCATGTATGTATGAGACATGTGGTGATTGAGGGGTTTCTGCTCCCTTAGGCTGAGGCTGAAGTGGCTTCTCTGAACCGCCGTATCCAGCTGGTGGAGGAGGAGCTGGACCGAGCCCAGGAGCGCCTGGCCACTGCCCTGCAGAAGCTGGAGGAAGCTGAGAAGGCAGCAGATGAGAGCGAGAGGTGTGATGGGAAGGGACAGCAGGGGTGGCATTGGGTCACCATTGATTGCAAGCAGCCCCCTTGGTTTCACAGTGGGGTCCCTCTGAAGTGACCTTATGGGCTTTGTGTTGGTTTTCCTGCAGACCCCCAAGGGAGAGAGCAAAGCCACAATGCAGAGAAGGCCCCCAGATACAGGCATTCTTAAAAGGGCACCCATAAAATCCTGAAAAAATTTGATCTGGTGTTTATACAAATATCAGGCTGTAACCAAAAGCAGAGGGTGCCTGGAGCCTGTTTTCTGCCCCTGAGCAGCTTCCTACACTCATGGGCTGAAGAACAGCCCAGGAGAGGACATCTGTGCCTGGGAAACAAGGTCAGCTTTTGAGAACGAACCAGAGTCATTCAAAAAAACAGCCCTGCAAAGTCTGTTGCCCCATCCTGCTGGCAAGCAGGTTTCCCAGGCTGGAGCCTGCAGGCGAGGGCATTCAGGTTGTACAGGAGTGCCTGGACATGTCACAGTGTTCCTCACAGTTATGTGAGCTCTTCCCTCCATTAGCAAAGACCAGTTTGAGCAACAGCATCCAAGTGAGAGGAGAAGAGTCTGCAGGAGTCTCTGCCATGGGGGTTCACAGGGGTTTGGTGACCCCCTGCTTGTGAGCATCACCCCTGAATGAGAAAAGGCTTTGCCACAGGATGTTTTTTAGCATTTCCTAAAGGTTGCTGGCCTGTCAGGCTGCTTTTGTGGAGGTTGTGGCTGGCTCATCCTGGGCTGCAGACATTTTCCCCCCTAAATGATGGCTTCCGGACCTGCCTGGTTGAGAGGCAACATAGCCACAGGTCCTCTCTCTGGAACACGGCCCTGCGACCTGCTCCACTGCTGTAATTGCGCACAGGAGCATCCTTGGGGTACCGCTCGTGTGACCCTACTGCGTGGGGTTGCCAGCGAGTGCTGGCATCCCCAGGCAATGTCCCATGTCTCTGGAGCTGGAGGATGGCAGGGTTAGGGAACAAAGGGCAGGCAGGAGGTAGAGGTGCCACCTTGACCCATGGCGGTAACATCTTCTGGCTTGGGCTTTCCTCAGAGGCATGAAGGTCATCGAAAACAGGGCCATGAAAGATGAGGAGAAGATGGAGCTCCAGGAAATGCAGCTGAAAGAGGCGAAGCACATCGCAGAGGAGGCTGACCGCAAATACGAGGAGGTGCGTGCTCCCTTCTCCCACTCATGACCCCCTGGTAGCACCTGGGGCCGCCTCCTTGGAGCCCTGTGCCCCAGCCGGAGCAAGCATGGGGCCAACACGTGCCTCTTGCTGCCCTCAACAGGTCGCCCGCAAGCTGGTTGTCCTTGAGGGAGAGCTGGAACGCTCAGAGGAGAGGGCAGAGGTGGCGGAGAGGTGAGCAGGGCTCCTGGTGGGCAGCGCGCGGAGGTCCCATGCAGCCCTTGCCCCAAATCCCTGGCAGCCGTGGGGACGGGGATGTCTGCATGGGGATGGGGAAGTCCCTCCCTGGGAGCGGCAGGGTCTGCCATTGGGGTGGTCCCTGGGCTTGCAGGCTAGGGGCAGGGGGATGCCAGCCCGCCGGCAGCACATCCTTGACCCTGTTCTCTGCTGTGTCCCCCCCCGGGGTGCCCCTCTTCCACCCCAGCCGAGTGAGACAGTTGGAAGAAGAGCTGCGGACCATGGACCAGACTCTCAAATCCCTCATTGCCTCAGAGGAAGAGGTACTGGGGCAGGGGCGCGGGGCGATGCGCAGCAGCCCCCCTCTCTCTGTCGCTGTCTCTCAAACCATGCAAGCCACCTCTCTCCTCTCTGCACCACTGCCTTCACCGCCAACCTCCCCTCGCCTCCCCCTCTGGCGGGCGCAGGCTGGGCACGCTCCTCCATCCCACCATGCCTGCTCTCCTTCTTGGTGGGGCCGGCTGGCAGTGATGCACGGGGTGTCCGTGCAAGGAAGCATGAGGAATGGATGAACGGATGCGTCCCAGCAGCTCCTGCTCGCAGTAGCTCTGCTCCTTCTCCACCTGTGCTGTTTTCCCCTCTCTCAACTTGTTTTCTCTCTTTCTTTCCTCCTTCCCCACGACCACTCTTTCTGCTCCCCCCCTCTCCTTGCCCCCCGGCCCTGCTCCCTCTCCTGGCGGCCCCTGCTTGGGATGTAGTAAATGTGGTGACCTAGAGGAGGAGCTGAAAATTGTCACCAACAACTTGAAGTCCCTGGAGGCCCAGGCTGACAAGGTAGGACGCAGAGGTGCTGCTGGGGCTGGGCAGAATGCGTGGGGTCTGGGGGTGCTGGGGTCTCCTGCTGGGGTGAAGGACGGCCGGAGGCATCCCATGGGGCTCAAGGTGCCTGTCTCTTTCTCTGCAGTATTCCACCAAGGAGGACAAGTATGAGGAGGAAATCAAGCTTCTAGGGGAAAAACTGAAGGAGGTAAGGGGTGTGGGGCTGGCACTGCATCGATGCAGGCAAGAGTTTGCCATCCCATGTGGGTTTTGACCACGTTATGCCTGTGTCCTCCCACTGTTCCCTAAATTGCAGCCCTGCAGCATGGCAGGTGCCTGGGTCTGGGATGCCCGCCCCATCAGCCTGCTCTGGTTTAGGGTGTGGGGGTCCATGGGGCCCTAGTCCCTTGTCTTTCCCAGGGGTGGGCTTCTGGAGAAGGGTACCAGAGTTGCAGACGGGGCAGATTTGGGGTGTGGTGCAGCCTGCACCATCCCTGTCATGCCCCACAGCTCACTCTCTCCCTGCTATGCTCTCACAGGCTGAGACCCGGGCGGAGTTTGCAGAGAGGTCTGTGGCAAAGCTGGAGAAAACCATTGATGATCTAGAAGGTAAAATGTCCCCGCTGACCCCGTGTCCCTCCTTCCCAGGGAGTGCTGGCCACAACGTGCCCCTGGTGGGGCTGGACAGGGCTTGGCCAGGGTGAGGGGTGGGCAGGGGTCTTGGGAGGGGGGAGGCTGGATGCTGTGGTGTCTAGTGTGGGAGCGCAGAGCTGCTGGGATCTGGGCTCTGCCCTCAGGTGGGAAATAGGGCCACATCCACATCGCCTGTGCCTGCCACGCTCCTGCCGCCCTCGGCCCCCTGCTCACAGCCACTCTCTCTCTCTCTGCCGCCTGCCCCCTGCACTGCCCCCCCACCTGCCCCCCCCACCTACAGACGAAGTGTATGCGCAGAAGATGAAGTACAAAGCCATCAGCGAGGAGCTGGACAATGCACTTAATGATATCACCTCCCTCTGAGCCCCCCGCCGGACACCAGCACTGCACCCCTCCCTGCCTGCCTCTTCCCTCCCCAGCTCTTGCTTGCCTGGCTGTCCCACTACCCTCCCTGCCTGGTCTGTCCTCCTCCTGTCCTTCCTAGCCTGTGCCTGTCTGTCAGCTCCTTTGGGGCAGGTGCCGGCCCAGGGTGTTCCCGCAATACCCCTCTTTGTGGGGAGTCAAGGTATAGGTGCTTGGGGGTGCTGGGCAGGGCAGGGAAACAGCCTCTGGGACCCCGACGGGCTGCACGGACAGCGCCTAATGCAGTTGCAGGTCTGTGACACAGCATTGCCCAGTGGGATACAGGGCTGTGCCCAGGAGCCCTTTGCTCCAGCAGCTCCCTCCTTGGCTCTCCAGCAGCAGGAGCGCAGGGAACCCTGCAGCTCTAGGGCCAGTGGGGCCACCTAACCCCCACATCCCCCTAACAAAGTCCACCAGTGCTGCTTGCTGGGCCCAGTGTGGGAAGGACCTGCACAGAGGAAGCAGCATCTCCGCTGCCAAAGCTCAGGCCCACGGGATGAAGGGTTGGGTCCAGCTGCGCAGGCAGCTCTTTCCCAGGCAGGCAGGCAGGCAGGCAGTCCGTCCGTCCCAAGACCCCCAGCTCCTCCCGCATCCCTGCCTCCCTTCTGTCCTTTGCACATCGCTCTTCAGTTTGCATTTCATGACTTTTCTTTTATGTTCTGTCCCTCTGGGTTACTGAGTTGGTCTCAATAAAGCATTTTTGTGTCCTTGGTTTCTCCTTTGTTTTCTTCATGCCACTCTGTCCCTCATCTCCTGCCTGTCTCATACAGGTGCTGGTAGCAGGGTGGTAGGAGGTGGTCGCAGGTAGCTCGCAGCCGCTGGACGCCTGGGATGGCTGTGGCTGAGCCCCGAGCGGCTCCCACGCTGCCAGGCTGAGCGGGATGGGGCCCTTTTTGCCTCTGCCTGGAGATGACCCCTGCCACCCCCCGGCCCTCATACACAGCTTTCCTCATCTTGTGCCATCTTCTCCATGACTCTTTTGTCCTGAAATAGCAGGGTTAGACTTGGTCCTGTCCATTCCCTGTCCCCACTCCCAGACATTGCCTGCAAGCAGCGATCTCAGCCGTGGCCTCTCTCCTGCATCACTCTCCCTCAATGAAGGGGCTGACCCTGCCCTTCAGCAGCAATCCCTAAATGGGTCCCTGATCCTCCTCCTTCTTCCTCAGCATCCTACCCTGCCCCAGAACCCAGTTCCCAAACTGATGGACCCACAGCCCCATCCCTGGCCCTGGACCAGCTGCCTGCTCCTGCCAGTCCAGCTTGTCCCTGCTGCTGGCTGGGTGGCTGTGGGATTTCCAGTTAGGGCTTTGGGGAACACTGTTTTCTTTTCACTAACTTGCCTTTCTCTCTCTCTTCCCTCTGCTGCGCTGATGTCTCTGTTTTCTCTAGAGCGCTCCCGGCAGGAGGCTGAGAAAAACCGTGTTCTCACTAACGAGCTGCGGGTCATCCTTACTGAACTTAACAACTGAGCTGCCCAGAGCTCCCGGCCCCAGCCCAGCCTCCCTGCCTCATTTTGGCCAGGCTGGCTCGGGGCTGGGAGCCCCTACCCGCTCCCCGCCAGAACTAGGCAGGGTGGGGAGCCTTGGCTTATGCTCCTGGGGGTAACCGCCCTGCTTGGAGGGGGACAGGGAGCCTCTCTGCAGCTGGTCGGTTTTTCCTGGGAGAGGAATGAGGGGTTTTGAGATGTCGTGGGACGCCCACATGGTGATGGCTGTCCGCCGGCATCAGCCTGGCCCTGCTGGGGAGGGATGCAGTGGTTTCTATCGCTGCCTTCCTCCCCTTGTCCCAGGACTCAGCGGCCAGCCTCTTCCTCCTCACTCTGGTCACCCCAAACTGTGCAAGGAGGATCCCCTCAGAGCAGGGTCCCTGCAGGGTGCTGGGAGGGCTGAGATAGGAACTGGGGACCCGGCAGCACCCGCTGCCCCAAACTTGGAGCAGGGGACAGGGAAGAGCCCAGCAGGGAGTGCTGGGAGATGAGGCTGAGTGGGCAGAGTTCTCGTCCCATCCCCGTCTCTGGAGGGAAGGAGGATGCCATCTGGAAGCGAACACCGGAGGAGGCTGCCTCGGCAGTAAGCTGCCTGGCAGAGCTCATCCCTGCAGCCTCTTTAGCTCTGCTCCTTCTCTGTCTGCCCACCCTTCTGGGCTCCTGTCTCACTCCTTTTCTTCATGGAGCACCACTGGGTCATGCAGCAGGCACTGTCTCTCCTCTTTTCGCTGGCCAAGCATTTGTGCACGTGCCCACAGCCAGCTGGTGGTGATGCCCTGAGGCAGGATATACTGGTGACTGGCCAAGGAATGGTACCCGCCAGTGGTACCAGCGCTGCGGAGGGCCCAGCCATGGGCAACCGGGCACCATGGGACAATGGAAATGCTGAAGAGCGGGGACTGCCTGCCCCCAGTGACCAGCCTGGCTGGCCTGGCCACCCCAGCAGGTCCTGGAGCAGCTGGGCTCATCCCTGCCAGCGATGGGGCTGCTTGCATGCAGTCTGCTCCGCAGGGATGCCCCACTTAGCTGGAGTCTGTCACTGTACTGAAATGTCCATCTGTGTGTGTGTCTGTGGTTGGTGTGATGTGTGTGTGTCCGGCTGCATCTGGGTACACTTGGGCTGTGTCTGTGTGTGTGGCTGCATGTCCCTTGTATTCACAGAGAGTCTGGCCAGTGCCAAAGAGGAGAATGTGGGCATCCACCAGGTCCTGGACCAGACCCTGCTGGAGCTGAACAACCTCTGAGCTGCACTGGGAAGCCCCCATTCCTCTTCCCTACCCCACACTTACACCCCACTGGCACACTCAGGACGTCATCACTGAACTGCGTCTTGGCCAAATCCACACATCCATTGAGAAGGGAAGCCCTGCAGCCTTACAGTGTGGCTCGGGGACATCTTGTCTGTGCACAGCCTGACTGGCTCTGTCCTGTCTTCATGTCCAAATATTAAAGCAATTTGGCAAGATGGATGGGTGTGTTTGATCCTTGTGGGTGGGCACAGGCACTGGGATATGTGATGGGGGTCTCCCTGCCCAGTTTGTACAAGGAGGTTCTGCAGGGGCTTGGGTCCAGGGTGTGTACGGCCAGCATAAATATGTTCTCTGTGGCTGTGGGGGGCTGGGAGTAGTAATGCACACAGTTTGGGCTGCATTCCCTTGTCTCCATTGCTTCCTTGGGATGCACAGGAAACCTGCAAGTCTCAAGCTCAGTCCAAACTCACCATCCTGTTCAAGTGCACTGTGATAGACATAGGTCACTGGTGTGTCCCCTTCCACAGCCAGGATGTTAACTGCCTAGCACTTGGGGAAGCCACAAGGTCTTTGACCTCTCCGTGGAGCCTACTTCATGGTTCGTGTTCATGATGGCATCTAAGGATGCATACAAGTATGTGACCATGCATGCACGCATTATTAGTTATAAGGGTCTTCTCCAGGTCTGGGGTTAGCTACTTACCCTGTTTACTAGTTGCATTTACTATTACCAGTCACTGAATGCCTGCCTGCCTGAAGGACAGCTGTATAAACTAGCAAATATTAATGCAGTCAGTAGGCAACCAATTCCCAAAGCATTCAGGAAGTTTCCTCCTGGCTTGCTATATTTTCTCCAACACAAAGAGAAGCGCAGCAGGATGTGTCTCATTGCTGCCACCAAAACAGGCTGGATTTCCTGGGGATGCCCAAAGTCATGATCTAGTCCTGCTCTCCGCTTTGGGCCCTCCATGATGTGCGCCAAGCCCTGTTGTCCCACACTACCCGGCGGATATCCCTCTAAAAGCACAGACTCATGCTGCCAGGAAACATAATTCATGTTGACCCCTTGCTCAGCTAGTCCATTGCCCCAGTGAGCAGCCGGTAGGGATAGCTTTCATTATCTGCTTTCCTTTATTTGCAGAGCCTGTCAGCTCAGGAAGAGGAGGGTGGTGAGATTGCATCTCTTTCCTGCCCAGGTGCTGCTGGCCTCCTGCCCTCCCCCTGGCCCGGCACCTCTGGTTTGTGCCTCCAAGACCTCGTCCTAAAGGGAAAAGGGCTCCTCTTGCACAGGGTGCTCATTTTCTGGTTGTCCTCCCAGGGTGCGAGACCTGCCTGAGCCACAGCCTCCCACCCTGGATGTGCTGGAGGGGAGGACGGTGCACAGCTGTCTTGGCCTGCTGAGCTGGCCCTGTGCAAGGGCTAGAACTCCTCCTTGGGTCCACCTTGCTTTTCTGCAGCACATCAGCTGAGCCATTCCAATGTTTGGTCAAAGCACCTTCCAGGCAGGGGCTTGTTTGGCTGCAAAAGGAAAAGGAGTGTAAAACTACCTCCTCTTCGAGAGCCTGCAGGCTGCACTGCAAACAAGCCTGACCTGTGCTCTTAACAGGGTGCGTCCCCAGCACCCAGCCTCTGGGTGCCCTTCACCTTCCTGCTGGGACAAAGAGCCTTTTCACACCCAGTGTTTTTCCCCATTAGCTGCTGCTGCCTCCTGGTTTCGACCAGTCCATTTAATTTAACCTTTTACACCCCACTGCAAGGGCCTTTTTTTTTCTCTGAACTTTCTGTAGTTTGGCAGTGAGATCCTGGCTGCTGTTGCCAGGTGATGCTCTGCCCCAGAGACGTGAGCCTATCTTTCATGGTTCAGCACAGTTTTGTGTTTCCTCCATCTTCCCACTCATGTCCTTCCCCCCATGGCCTGCAGGAAGATGCAGGCTGAGGGAAGCTCTGGGAGGCCTGGGTGCTGTGGAGCTGCTGGCAAGGGAGCTCGACCTGGAGGCACATCTCCCCACATGCGTCACTCAGACCCACACTGAGGACTGCACTGCCAGTCCCCTCCTCCCTCCCTCCCCCTGCACCTCTCCCATTGAATTTCAACCTTTGGATTTGTTTACCTTGGCTTGACAGGCTGAAGATCTCCCTGAAGACCTTTCAGCCCTGGCGTGGGCTGCCACTCCATTGATAAACCACCACATTAACCTCTGGCAGCCTCTCACCTCCATCCTCCAGTTGTTTCATCACTCTGGTGCCTCATCTCATCTCTGAATCCTTCCTGTTCAATATCCTTGAACTACGTGCTGAAGGGGAAGGACCACACAAAGAGCATCACAGAGACATTTTGATGAGACACATTGAGCTGTGCACAGCTGGACACAGACCACTGCCACCCCCCAGTCCCTCCCTGCATTTACAGGCTGAGACATTTGGATACCCAGAGGAAGAGCCGTGTTGCTGAGCTGTGCGGGTTTTGCAGGGCTCTGGGTGATTTTGAAACAGGTCAGGCCACCTAAAGCCAAGTGCCACACAAAGCTCCTGGTCTCCAAATCTGTATTACTGATTTGTCGATCCCAGCAGAGGACAAGGCAGCTGGAGGAAGACATGGACAGCCATAACCATGCAGTGCTGCCTCATTTCTGTACGAGTTATGTATGCCCTGCATGCAGTGCTTAGTACTGCAGCCTACATTGGGGCTGTGATGCCTGAGCTGTGAGTGTGGAGTGGGTGGTGCAGGAGGAGCATGCAGCCCCTACCCCACACGCTCGGGGGCTGCAGTAGGTCTGGGAGCAGCATCGGAGGGAGCAGCGCTAGAGCCACCCTGCAGTGAGGCAGGCCTATGGTGGGCTGAAATGCAGCTAGGGACCCCTGGGGACAGCCAGCACTGTTACTGTAGAAAAAGCCATTCAAAGAAACTCTCTAAAACTCAGTTTTGGAGTTTTAGAAAGCAGGCATTTTTTATTGCAGCACTGGATGCACAGGGGATAGTTCCTCCTAACATGCATACAGTTACCTACAGCAAGCAAAGCTTATATTGTTCTAATATATACATATTAATTATATTTCCTGGAATTGTCATACATTTTCATGGTATTTCCCAGAAATCATTTACATAGTGTCCACCCTTTGGGGCACTTACTATTAAATGGGTCGGTGGTCTTTTGGGGTCTTTGAAACCCTCTGGTGGTCATTTTCTTGGTGTTCCCCTGTGCTCAGCACTGGTGAGGCCGCACCTCGAGTCCTGTGTTCAGTTTTGGGCCCCTCACTGCAGGAAAGACATGGAGGTGCTGGAGCGTGTCCAGAGAAGGGCAACCAAGCTGGTGAGGGGCCTGGAGCACAAGTCTTCTGAGGAGCGGCTGAGGGAGCTGGGGCTGTTTAGTCTGGAGAAGAGGAGGCTGAGGGGAGACCTTATCGCTCTCTACAACTGCCTGAAGGGGGGTTGTAGTGAGGTGGGTGCTGGTCTCTTCTGTCAGGTGGCTGGAGATAGGATGAGAGGAAATGGCCTCAAGTTGTACCAGGGCAGGTTTAGAATGGATATTAGGAAAAATTTCTTTACTGAGAGGGTTGTTAGACATTGGACCAGGCTGCCCAGGGAAGTGGTTGAGTCACCATCCCTGGAGGTGTTCAAAAAGCGCGTAGACAGGGCACTTCAGGACATGGTTCAGTGGGCATGGTTGACGGTTGGACTCAATGATCTTGAAGGTCTTTTCCAACCTAAATGATTCCATGATTCTATGAAACCTCAAGGTCTCTCGCATACCAGAAGATTCAAAGACGCTCAAGCCAGCACAAATTAAGCGCTACAAAATACAATGGAGTCTTTCAACTCCATCCTCTACTCAAGGCATCAGCACCCCTCACCCAACTGCCGGCACCCTGGGCTCGGCCCAGGTCCGAGGGGCAGCGCAGGACCCCCCCCCCCCAGCTGGCTGGACCCTGTGAGGGCAGCGGTGACAGACCCACGCTCCCCTGGCTACAGGCCTCGTCCTTCCGTCAGAGGGCCGGG